TTGACTCAATAAAACCAATTTTTGAAAACTTTATCAAAAAGATCAAAAAGAGGTAAAGTAGCATTAGTAATCAACTCCCCCCAGACTTAAATCATACACTGTCCTCAGTATATAATTAGTCGGAGTTAGAGCATAATAAAAATTAAATATGTGTAACTGATATCGAAAATTGGAAACGATATACCTGACCGATATGGGTATCGATCGATGGTGAGTCGCCATCGTCGATCGATGCGTGTTGGTCTGTGTCGAGCGATATCGACTGGTTCGTATCGGTCGATAGGTATGGATCGTGTGTCTATCTTCCTAAAAACAAATAAAATCGAAACTAGTAAGTAAAAATAAAATAAAATAAGTAAGTAAAATACCTAACAGTGGGTTGCCTCCCACTCAGCGCTTGTTTAAAGTCAGTTTAGCTTGACTATGGAAGTATGGTTGCTAGTGAGGTGGGTTGCAGGTACTTGTTGGGTAAACAAGTGTCCTCCTTTTCTTGTGTTTCATCAAACCAAGAGGTTAGAAAGCTTCTTGTGGCCTTCTCACTTCTGGTCATGCTAGTCTTCAAACCATAAACTTCTGCTTGGATCCTTTCTAACCACCCCTCTAAGTTGGCAAGGCTGTACTGATGGTTGCCAATCATGATGTAGATGTGTTCTGTTGTGCGCTGCATGGTGTCGTGGTGTGTTGGATCGTCGGTGGATGCTGGAGGTTGCATATCGATCGATGCGTTGTGTGCTTCATCGATCGATGGGGATGGGTCAGGTCGGATGGCGAGCTGTCTTTGGATATCTTCTACCTCCTTCTGAATATCTTCCATTGTGCATTGTAGACCTTTGAAATCACTGTGTAGGGGAAACCAGTATTCGTCCAGTATTCTGTAATCTTCGTCTCCACAAAACTCAATGGATTTGTAGATCTCTGTTGTGGTTTCTTCAAGTTCTTCCCTGGTACAGAAGTCTTGAGCACGGGTATCGATCGATGGACTGGGTTTGTCATCGATCGATAGTTTCTGTAAGTGGTGCTCGATCGGGTGTTTGACGGCTGTATCGGTCGATGCAGGGGGGTTCTGTATCGGTCGATGGCTGTGTCTGAGATTGCAGTTGTGCGCGCAAAGTTTTGACTTCTTCTTGTAGGGCATCTCGTTTCTTTCGTACTGAGTCATTGTGGCTGTTCTGCCATAGCATTTCACCTCGAAGTCTTGATAGTTTGTCCTCAAGGTCATGTCTCGCGCCTGCTAACTTCCAGTTGTGATCGCTGGTGAGGCCATCTAGCATGTAGGTGACTTCTTTCTGTGTGTAGAGCTTGCCATCTGGAACTCCTTTAGCAAACTGATCAGCATATCCTGGTAGACAGAAACAAGATCGACCAAATAGTGAGGCTTTCTTCAGCAAGTTTTCCATATCTTCTTTGGTGACAGGGATGATGTCTCCGTTTACTGCTCTTGCATGGCCAGATTCATCTCTGTAGACTCCATATTCATCTTTCTTTTCTAAAAAGAAACGACGTTCTCCGTTTTGGAAAGCTCTCGTTCCATACTCTCGGTGTGTATCGATCGATGCTAGTCTCCAGGCATCGGTCGATGGGCGCTTTGTCTGGTTCGGGTCGTTTTCGATGATAGGTCCATTGGCCATCTGGAGTATGTCTGCAACATCTTCTGTGGAGATAGGAATTATTCTCCCATCTATGGCACGTGCATGACCATCTGAATCCCTGAAAATACCAAACTCATCTGGAATCAGTGAATTTAAATCAAATTTTGGTAGTTGTACCTCGGATGGTGTTGTGGCAGGATCGGTTGGTGGTCTGTGATTGATATCGATCGATGGAGAAACGTCTTCGTCGGTCGATGGCATGTAGGTCGTGTCGGTCGATGGCTTGTACTCCTTGTCGAGCGATACGGGATCTACAGGTTGAGTCGCGGCTTGTAGGGGTGCTGTGTCTACTGCAAAACTTTCGTGACAACCGCTGGCCCAGCTTCCAATCGAGTAATCTCCGTCTCATGGTTCGTGTGGGACATTGACTGGTTTGCAGTAGGGTTTGTCGCTTGTTGATTCGAACCGTCGTTTGCGCGATCTGTGGTAGGGCATATCGATCGATGGACCAGGTGTCATATCGGTCGATGCTCGTCGGATGAAGTTCGGGAATGGAGGTTGTTCTTTATCTTCTCGAAGAAATCGGTACTCTATAGCTCGTTCCTCCTCGTAATCTTCATCATACTCCTCCTGAGTAGTGATACTAGCAAGCTCGGGAAAGTAGTGATCGTTTTCCCAATCTTCTGCACTGAAACCGGCTTCTGGGAACTCGGCTTCGGTCCGTCGGAAGACTCCATCGAGCGATGACCGGGTAGAACTGTCGGTCGATGGTGCTGCAAGGATATCGATCGATGGGGAAGTGGTGTCATCAGTCGATATTGTGTCTTCGGTTTCATACTCTTCCATATAATCAAATTCGTGGGCACAGAAACATGTGGCTACGAGTGTTGAGCTGGCTGGCCTTGGGAACTTGATGTCTATTTGTTTAAGTTTAAGTTCTATTTGAATAATGTCTTCTTTTTTTTTAATAATGCATGTTTTTTATTCTTTTAATATTGTGTGTTTGTTTCTTTCTTATTTAATAATGTGTGTTTGTTTTTTTCTTCAATAATGTGTATTTGTCTTTTTGTCTTTAATATTCCTTGTCTTCTTTTACTTTTATAATTTTGTTTGTATGCAATCTGTGACTTTCTGATTTTGTAAGAGAATCCAATCGTCATCTATTATTTATGTCAACTTAATGTTTGCTTGGAATCCAGAATTTTCATGCACTCAGATTTTTATAAATAGAAACTCATTTTTCATAGGTGTGCCAATAACACAAATTTCATCTTACAAAAAAATAAAGGGATCCATCAGAATTCCCTTTCGATATCGAAATGTTCAAAAAATAGTGTGAGCTTCAAGAGATGTATATCGTACACCGGTTTAGAGAGTGACAAAAAAAACTGAGGAAGACCATGCATCTAGTAGCAAGAGAAAATACTTCAAGAGAAATCATGTAGCAGCAAATCAAAGGCTGATTGATGACTACTTTGCTAATCAACCTACATATGATGAACGAATGTTTCGTCGGCAATTCCGAATGCGAAAACATGTTTTTCTTCGGATCGTTGAAGACCTATTAAGCAGTGACAACTATTTCCCCAACAAGTTGACGCAGAAAATAAGGAAGGTATATCTCCATTAGCAAAATACACTACTGCCATGTGAATGTTAGCGTATGGTGTTGATGCCGATGCGATCAACGAATATATCAAAATAGGAGGTACTACAGCATTGGAGTGCTTGCACCGATTATGTAAAGGAATCATACGGTTTTATAAGCAAGGGTATCTTAGAGCTCCAACTCAAGATGACTTGCAAAAGCTTTTGCATGTCAGTGAGATGAGGGGGTTTCCAAGGATGATCAGGAGTATTGTTTGCATGCATTGGAACTAGAAAAATATACCCAACAACATGGGAAGGTCAGTTTACTCAAGGATATAAGGGAACCACCACGGTTATACTTGAAGTAGTTGTATCTCATGATCAAAGGATTTAGCATGCATTTTTTGGATGCTCGGGAACATTAAACGATATAAAGGTTCTATATCGTTCGCCGATGTTTGATGATGTTGAATATTCCAAGAGTGATTTTTTTTTGTAAACCAATGTCTATATGACATGGCATATTATCTTGCAGATGGTATCTATCCTTCTTATCCAACTTTCTTCAAATCAATCCGACTTCCTCAAAGTGAACCAGACAAGTTATTTTCAAAATATCAAGAAAGATGTCGGAAGGACATCGAACATGCATTTGGAGTGTTACAAGCTCGATCTAAAATCATTCGTGAACCAGCTCGCATGTGGGAGATATCAGATATGACTATCATGATGCGGTCATGTATCATACTGGATAATATGATTGTTGAGGATGAACGAGATACATATGCTCAGCACTGGACCGATTATGATCAATCTGAGGCAAATGGTTCGAATACACCACAACCGTTTTCTATAGAGGTGCTACTAGCATTTTCAAATCATATGCGTCATATATCTTAATTACGTGATTCAAATGTGCATCATGAATTGCAATCATATCTAAGTCAAAATCATTTGGGCAAAATTTGGAAGGTTTCATGCTTGAAAGTTTTTAATATATGTGTGCTTTAAGGGTTTTATTGTTTGTGTAGTGAATCTATTGTATTAATTAAGTTATGTTTTTTTTTTGTGTGCTTTGTATCGTGTGTTTAAATTTTTTTAATAATGTGTGTGTACTTTGTGTATTTAAAATTGCTTAATTTTAGTTATTTTAATAATATTAAGTTTCGTATTTTTGAATAAAATTAGGTAAAGTTCTAATTTAAATAAATATGTTCTTAATTTTAATTTTTTATTGATCTTGGTATTATTTAAAAAAAAAGCCTTTGTATAATACTTTAAAATAAATATTATTAGAATATATTTTATTTTAGTTTTTATATTAATTATTAATATGTAATTATTATATTGTAAAAATAGAAATATAAAATAAAATTTGTGGGGTAGATGTTGGATTTTTTTAAACAAATTATTATATTGTACATGATCTAAGCAATGATTTTAGAGAAATACGTTCAGAATTGTAGTGTGTTCTAAGACCAAGTAACCAATATTCTATCTCTATTTGTAACTGAAGCTGTGCCACATGCTAAACCTTATCAAACCGGAATTGGAGCATTCTCAAACTTTATCTTTTGTAAAACTCAAAGGGGTTGTAGAAACAAGCACGTGGCTCTGTACATCATTCTGCATGCAGCCATGTTGTTCATCATCCATCGCTATACGTCAAAACCTGCCTCAAAATTTATAAAATTTCCCTAACACAAAATAAAACAAGATAAATTTTCCCTTTTCAATTATTGTTGCATCCTCTTTTATCTTTCTCCGTCGGTTGCGATAGCCTAATCCCAAAAGTCCCCATTGTTTTCCAAGTAAAGAGAAATGGTGGATCTGTTGAACTCGGTGATGAATCTGGTGGCTCCGCCGGCCACGATGGTGGTGATGGCCTTCTCATGGCCATTACTGTGTTTCATTAGCTTCTCAGAGCGGCTTTACAACTCTTATTTTGTGACCGAAGACATGGAGGATAAAGTCGTCGTCATCACCGGAGCTTCCTCCGCCATTGGAGAGGTAAGAATAAACAATGCAATTTACTCTTTCCAACATCATATATTCAATAAACCATATATTCTCTGACTCTCCATATTAATTTACACAAGTTGTTATTGTATTTCTAACTAGAATATATGTCATTAATTATACTGAATGTTAAATTTGTGTCGAAAAATATTGTTTTAAAATAATATGCTCTATAAAGTGGGTTTTAAGTTTTTTGGGGCTTGGTGTGTACACCCGTTCTGTCTGGTTCTTTCGAAAAACTAAATTATTGACTACTTAAAAAGGCTAAAAAAAACAGTTTCTTAACTTCCGCTAAAAACCATCCGCTAAAAATTCCGGATTAATCATGCTCTAATATTTATGTTCCTTAATTTTGCATGCATCATGCATGCTGATGATCTTGTTAACGGGATGAAACGCAGCAAATAGCATACGAATATGCAAAGAGGGGAGCAAACTTAGTGTTGGTGGCGAGGAGAGAGCAGAGACTGAGAGTTGTGAGCAACAACGCCAGACAAATTGGAGCCAACCACGTCATCATCATCGCTGCTGACGTCATCAAAGAAGATGATTGCCGCCGTTTCATTACTCAAGCCGTCAACTATTACGGTCGCGGTACACAACCTATCTCGATTTCCACAGAATTTCTTAGCTTTGATCAATGGGTCTGGTCGAGCAGTCGTAGTTTTATGTTTTGAGAGCTAGTTGAGCATTTTAACTGAAAAAAATGTTGTTTTATCTCTGATGATGTATTCGACACAGTGGACCACCTAGTGAATTCAGCAAGTCTTGGACACACGTTTTACTTCGACGAAGTGAGCGACACGACTGTCTTTCCGCATTTGCTGGTATGCTCTCTTGATATTGTATATCTTCCGGTTGTTTATTGTGCTTTGATTTTGTGTTTTCAATAGAAAATATACGAAACATTGATGAGATTGTTGAGCAGGACATAAACTTCTGGGGGAATGTCTATCCGACGTATGTAGCGTTGCCATACCTTCAAAAGACCAATGGCCGAATCGTTGTGAACGCATCGGTCGAAAATTGGCTGCCTCTGCCACGGATGAGTCTTTATTCTGTTAGTTTATGCTATGAAACGTTTACTGTCCTTATTAGGTTTATATTTCTTCTATCTCGTAAGAGACTGAATAATGTTAACTACCATTGTGTAGGCTGCAAAAGCGGCACTAGTCAACTTCTATGAGACGTTGAGATTCGAGCTAAATGAAGATGTTGGAATAACTATCGCGACTCACGGATGGATAGGGAGTGAGATGAGTAGAGGAAAGTTCATGCTAGAAGAAGGTGCTGAGATGCAGTGGAAGGAAGAAAGAGAAGTAAAGCTTTATTCAACCTCACTTGTGATTTGAATGAACCTAAACTCCCAAAGACTTACTCACATTCATCTGCAGGTACCTGCAAATGGTGGACCGCTAGAGGAATTTGCAAAAATGATTGTGGCAGGAGCTTGCAGGGGAGACGCGTACGTGAAGTTCCCAAACTGGTACGACGTGTTTCTCCTCTACAGAGTCTTCACGCCGAATGTGCTGAGATGGACATTCAAGCTGTTGCTCTCTAGTGAGGGTTCACGTCAAAGCTCCCTTGTTGGGGTCGGGCAAGGTATACCCTCAGACGAATCCTCTTCACAAATGAAACTTATGCTTGAAGGGGGACCACCTCGGGCTCCCGCCAGCCCACCTCACTACACAGCCAGCCCACCTCGGTACACCGCAAGCCCAACTCACTACACCGCAAGCCCACCTCACTACACAGCCAGCCCACCTCGGTACACCGCAAGCCCACCTAGGTATACCCCTAGCCCAAGCCCACCTCACTATACCGCAAGCCCACCTCGATATACCGAAAGCCCGCCTTGGTATGCTGAAACCCCACCACGATATACACCTAGCCCAAGCCCACCTAGGTATGCACGGTTTAGTATCCAAGAGTTGCAATAGAAACTGAATGGGAGAATCAAGAGTTGAGGTTAGTCTGGTGTGTAGAGTGAGCTTGAGCGTCAGAACTTTCTCCAATTAAGTGAACCAAAAAAGCAATGTAAAGGACATAAGAGTGGAAATAATGCCGGTTGGTACAGCTATATGCTGGTTTTACTTGTTAATTACACCCAAAACATTCACGGACACAATGTAGTATATGATATTGTATCTCTGTATGTTATTTAGACTTAACTTCTACACAAGTATACATATCAAACAGGATAAAAAGTAGAACCTAGAGCGTACTAATCGCACCTCTAGGACCTGTGAACCTGGAAAGAAGATGACAAGATCCTGAAGAGACCATCCGGGTTATCCGTGTGAACCTGAAAGAACATAACCCAAGTATTTGTATATCGGTTAGGTGATTAAGTAACAGAAAGAAAGATGAAGCAAAGGTGTAGTTTGTTGCTTTACCCAGTGACCTGCATCTTCCAGTACATGCATTTCTACTCCGCCTCCTCCTTCAGAGGCGAGCTCTTCAGCGGCATGGATCCGTTGAAGGTCTTTTAGGGCCCAGCGGTGCAAGCTTCTTTCGGCTTTCAGAAAATTCACATGCACACCTCTTGGAAGATTCTCAACAAAGTCCCTTTCATTTTATAATATTAATATAGCAAGAAGCTTGAGTATAGTAACAAGGTAAAAAATCATACAAGTTTGCTTCACTAAACACAGGGTGGTTAGTAGAAATAGATTACCATAGATTTGTGTCTTCGTAGGACTGATAAAGTTCAGCGATCCCATCTAGGTCAAATGCCCACGAGAAGCTAGAAGACGATGGTCCAGTAGGTCTGAGATTGGTAACCACCCACTGCACAAGAAGACAGCAAGATTGTTGCAAAGGTGTCTGGCAGAATCTACCGAGTGAATGGATACTATACCTGTGCAACGTCATTGGAAAACCCTTCTTTGATAAGAGCGTTATAGACCTCGCGCTTGGATGAGACCTTAAACCAAACACAAAAGATGTTCATTACAGAAACCGACAAAGGGCATGAGTAAGAGATCTTGGTTTGTAAGTTACCACTTTAGGCAATTTACGTAGGAATGATATGAGCTCACGTGGATGATCCTCTCCATCTCCTCCTGCACGAACTTTACCAGGAGTAGCATCCAATACCCAAGCCTATAATGGTTACAGTTCAAAGCTACTAATGTAAGTCCTACCAACGGTTATTGGGATATAGACATGGAAAAAAATGCTGCTTACACGGACTGGTCGTGGAAGAGGCTTAGCTGCTTGCTCTACCATGCTTAGAACAACTACACAGATCATAGAAAAGACTCGTCACCAATATTATCACTTATAATCTGGATGAAGCAGTTTCATTAAGATGGTAAAGTAACCTTTCCCCCCAAAGCTATGACCAACAAGGACCCGAGGTGTTAACCTCAACTGACCAACCTAAGATTAAGAATGAAGGAACAATCAGACAAGTTATCTTTCCATGAAACGTGGTCTGAGAAAAAAACTTACAAGTTTCAGAACATCAGAAGCAGTTGAAGCAACAGAGTGTGGACCTCTCTTCTTGAGAGAAGCTGAATCCCCATGGCAACGTAAGTCTACCAAGAGAAACTGTAAAGATTGAATTAAGAGGAGCATATTAATTACTACAAGTGTGCGCACAGAGAGTTGGTATGTATTTGATCATATACTTACCTGCCAAGTTGGGAACTCGTGAGCCAATCTTCGAGCAAAAGTGCCTAGAGTAGCAGGAACCCAAACAAAACAAAAGGTTCTGTTAGATATTCTTAACAATCTTTTTTTTTGGGAGCAAATAGGTGAGCCAATCTTGATGATCTCTTTACACGTGAATAGTTTCAAGAATGGCTTTTACATTTCTTGAAAAAGATTAAAGAAACTAAATTTTCACTAGAAATCCAACGATACTGACCCCAGTTTTTGCCGCTGCCTAAGATTCCGTGTAGGAGAACTGCAGTAGGTGTATCTGGAACAGACTTGTCTTCCTTCCATCTCCATTTCACCTGCGTATGTATCATTACATCAGTCCCCACACACACAGAATCTCTCAGCTTCTAATGGCTGAGCTTAAACAGATTGGTCTCTCATTTAACTTACAAGAGCCCCTTGAACAAGATCGTACGCCTGCAAACAAATGGCACAAATCAACGTTACACACTTCAAAATGAGTCCAAAGTATCAAACTATTGTAGCAGAACAAAGCACGTACCAGGATCCGAGGAGGATCAGCAACACTTTGACCCGTTAATTGTCTTTCATCGACCAATGCCATACGTACATTTGTTCTTTTTGCTTTCCGGTTTTCGTGTACCAATGCTAAACGATGACTACTTAATCTGTCACTCTTTCAGGAGAAAAAATAAAGGAAAGAGTTAAAGTTTAAGGACTTTAACTAATTAAAGCCAAAGAGATTGATAGAGAAGGAAGAGAATTTAACAAACCTGAGAGTTTGTCCCAATTTTGATGAAGTTAGGAGAATTGAATGCTGGTAAAGAAGATATCTTTGATGGAAAACTAGTTCCACATCCTCTGCTAGAGCTTGCCGTGGAGCATGAGACCGTCGACATTAAGACAGATCAATTTTTCAGTTCCGTCTAAATTGGAAAACGACGAACTCGCCGATTCACGGATCAAGGAAGCAGAGACGAGACGGAGAAGGATGGAGAAGTTAAGAAGCGGAGAAACCGAAGGCAATGTGGTGGTTTCTTCTCCTCTTGATCTCTCCGTCGCCGTACGTTTTGTTTTCTGGAGAATCTCTCAGGTTTTTTTAGGACAGATGATGAATGACAGATTTACCCCTTTTGTCGATCCACTTTGGCGTGGTCTGTTTTTAGCCTCCCTAAAAAAAAGTAACAGCTCACGTTCTGCATGTCTTTTCCTTTCTCAAAAACTCATTCGCGTTTCTTGTAAAAATGAGGTTAGAACTATAGAACTCAGAGAAACATTACTGTAGGTTTTTAAATTCGGGGTTCTAAAAATATGTATGTGCAATGCAACCTGTTTATCTTAATTAAGGTGTTAATCCCAAAACTTGAACGAGATTAAGAAGCAACATAGATATTAAGAACTACAATTTGCTTTAAATAATTTTTAAAAACGTATACGGAAGTGCAGATCAGGTTTTGAAAGGGTGAATTGGCTCAATACCATAAAAGACAGAGATACTTTTATATTGGGGGGAAAAACGGTAAGTGGAGAGGAGAAAAACAGAGGGAAATAGAGTATATCTCTAATTTTAGGGTTTTGTGTGTATAGAGGGTGCAATTTCTTTTTGAAATTTTGGGAATCATATTTGACATAAAAATATTTACTAACTTATATATTGAGAAGTTTATTACTGTCATATTTGACATAAAAATATTTACTAACTTATATATTGGAACAATTAATTAGAACTATACAAATCTTTTTTTTTATTACTGTCATTTTTTAAATACCAAGTGTGTCCTTTTATTATGTTATGAAAAAAATCATATTTACAAAAATGTTATTACTTTTTAATGCCACCTAAGCAAAAATCCGGCACCACATAGGAAATCGCTACCGCATTTTCATTAAATCATCCGTAAAGCGCTACAGATGTCGTTACGGCTGGGTTATTGTTATGTTGTGACTGAGTTAACAATGCGGCTGACTTAAGAGAAATTGGCTGACTTAAGAATATAAGTCAGCCGTTAGTGATGGTTGACTTACAGAAATATGGCTGATTTATGGGATAACGACTGACTTACGTACACAAGTTACGGTTGATTTATACACTGGCGGTGTGATTTCTGGAAAATTCGGCTGAGTTGTAGTTAAGACGTGGCTGGGTTATGTTTTGCTGGCTGGGTTAATGAACATTGCCTGGCTGAGTTATTAAATTTACGGCTGACTTATGAGAGGTTGTTACGGCTCAGTTATATTTAATTAGCTGTAACTGGTTGGATTAACAGTAAATTCAGCATAATTACGGCTGACTTATTAGCGAAAGATTAACTATTAGAATATCATTCGTTTGACGGCTTATTTATTTGACGATACGGCTGACTTATAATTTTTCATCCTAATTATGGCTGATTTATTAGAAAAAGATTAATTACTGAAATAGTATTCATGTTTCAGCTGTCTTATGTTGTACTTGATGGCTGGTTTATTTAGGCTGAGTTATGTGTTTGTTTGGTGGATGACTTACCAATTTTTCATGTCATTAACTTTTACTTGCCATGTCATTACTAACGCTGAAAAGATAAAATAAGGTTCTATGTTACAGATGTAAAGTATTATTCTTCATTCTTCATCATCTTTATCTATCTTCTTCATCTTTCTCTGAGATCTTATGGATCTTGTAATTATTTTTTTTGGAAATTTGGACTAAAAAATGTAGATTTCAAAAAAATTAAAAATTTGAGACAGATCTACTGCAACGTCATCTTCAATGATGGTCGGTTGAGAAGAAGCTTCCTCTCCTCCAGTGTCATGTATGGTGGTCTAACATCTAGCTGCTTCCTCTCCCATCGAATTTTCCGTCTTGCAGAAGAATAAATAGTCAAAGAGAGAAATGAAAAAACTAAGTTCCATAAATTGTAAGTAAAAAAAATAGAATACGAAGAAGAAGATGAATTTAAAAGCTGATTTCATATGTTTAATGACTCAGATTTTGCATCATCTGAATATGATAACTTTAGTTCATACAATGAGTCTTCAACACATACGTTACGGCTGAGTTATTCATACGTTACAGCTGAGTTATGCCTACATTACAGCTGAGTTATGTATACTTTACGGTTGAGTTATACATACGTTACGGCTGAGTTTTACTCTAAACTATAAACCTAAGCTCTAAACATAAACTTTAAACTTTAAAATAATAAAAATTATTAGATTTAATGTTGAAAAGATAAATTTATAATTTTTCTTGCTTTATAGCTCTATAGTTTAGGTTTCCAGGTTCAAACTTAAGAAGAAATTAAAGTTTTAATATTTTGTTCAGGGTTAAAGGCTGACTTACAGGAACGTTACAATTGACTTATATCATTCATATACGCTACGGATGAGTTATGCATACGTTAGTTCTGAGTTATGCATACTTTACGGCTGAGTTATACATAAGTTACGGCTGAGTTATGCATATATTACGGCTGAGTTATGCATACGTTGCGGCTGAGTTATAACTCATCAAATTACAGTTGGGTTATGCATACGTTAGGGCTGAGTTATGCATATTTTATGGCTGAGTTATACCTACGTTACAACTAAGTTATAATCAAATTTTGGCTGAGTTTTTTATACTTTATGGCTGAGTTATGGTTACAATACGGTTTTGTTATAATCAAAGGTGAGTTATGGTTACAATACGACTTTGTTATAACCAAGTCGACCAAAAAAGCTTCTAACATGTTCAAGATTCATCATCCAAACTTAAATTTAAGTTAAAAAACCAAAGAAAAACTAAAATACGAGATAGATCTATTGTAGTCATCGCCATCTTCGATGGTGGTTGGTTAGAGAAGAAGTTTTCTTTCTTCCAGTATCTGTATGGTGATCCGACATCCTGATGTTCCCTCTTGTATGGTGATCCGACATCCTGATGCTCCTCTCTTATCGGATTCGTCGTTTTGCAGAAGAAAAAAAATAGTCAAAGAGAGTGATGAGACGGTTAAGTCCCGTCAATTATAAGTAAATGAGAGAATGATTTTTGACCTTTAGATTTCATTTAATCAATGGCCATAAATTTTGGTCCTTTAAAAACAAAGATTAACCAATGATAAAGAAAGGTGAGGATAGAGAAAATGAAACCCTTAGATTAAAATCAATCAACGGTCAAGGTAAAAAATAATATAAATTGTAATTTATTTACTACTGCGTAATGTTCCCGCCCACCCCAGTGTTTTGCAAGTATTTAGTTCCCGCCAAAAAATACGAAAGTTACACTTTGCGGCTAAGTTATTGACATGTTACGGTTGAGTTATCTTTAGGATAAGTTTATGTTTTAGGGTTTATGGTTAATTATTTGGGATTTAGTGTTTAGGATTTAGGTTTTATGGTTTAGGTACCACTATAAAACATAAGAAATTACACAAATTTAGTTGAAAAAAAATTATATGGTATACTTTGTATTTGATGCGTTCAACACTTATATAGACACATAAGACTTTAAGTATTTGTAAGACAACATATATCTCAAGATCATGATCAATTCGAAAACTTATAAATTCAATGAAGTATACACACTATGTTGATTATATATTCATCTAAAATTGATAATATTAATTGCTAATAACATTTTAAAGTACATTTTTTAATATTATGGTATGTTTGTGGTTTGGCTGAGTTATATGAAGCGTTACGGCTGGCTTATAGAAACGATACAGCTGGGTTATATTAAGCTTTTTTATTTTAAGGTATGTTTGTGGTATGACTGAGTTATATGAAGCGTTACGGCTGGGTTATATTACATTTTTTTGATTTTAGGGTATATTTGTGGAATGATTGAGTTATATAAAGAGATACAGTTGGCTTATAGAAACGATACGGCTGGGTTATATAACGATGCGTTTGGGTTATATAAAACATACTATTAGCGAAAGTCAAATACAAAACGTTCAAAGACTACAAAAACTGCTGATATATCCAATTTCTTCCTTCATCGAGGATATCTGCTGCCATCTTCACCCGTATACCTTGAATATTCTTATCATTTATCCCAAAACATTTTGTATTGGTCAGGTTCAAAACTTTATGTTGGCACTGAATCTGTGTTTAACCCAGTGATCTCACCAAATTCGTGTAAGCTAAACCTGATAGGTTCATCACCAACTAGACTTCAAATCTCCTTCTTATATACTCGAAGCTGTCTACATAATAGTGTACAAAACTACCAGATCACACGCTTTTGTATTCAGCTAGCTTCACAATTATTCCAAGAGGACTCTGCTACAAGTAATCCCACACATCCCGTCCTATTGCTTCTCTGACGTGATGGAATTCTCCAATATAAAAATTGTGATTAATCTCTTTATTTTCTAGATTATAAGCCCATTCAACGTAAAGTCTTGGAGGATAATAATGTGCTTGATTTTCATAAACATCCATCTGATCTTAAAACACATATATATATAAATCAGCCGCAATAAAAAAATTAACACAGTCACAACATAATACATAACTCAGTCGTAATAGAAAAAAAAACTCAGCCATAACATAGTATAACTCAGCCATAATACAACAAACTCAGCCGTAATAGAAACAAAACTTAGCCACAACATAGTATAACTCAGCCATAATACAACAAACTCAACCACAACATAATACATAACTCAGCTGTAATAGAAACAAAACTCAGCCACAACATAGTATAACAGCCATAATACAACAAACTCAGCCACAACATAATTAATAACTCAGTGACACCATAATCTATAATTCAGCCGCAATAGATCGCAACGTACATCAAACTCAGCCACAATATAAAATAACTCAGTTATAACATAATCATAACTCATCCACATCGTAAATCAAACTCAGTCACAACATACCGGAGAAGATGATTTCGTAGATATGATTGCATAGAAAAATTTTCGGAGAAGACGTTTTCCATGAAGACGATATCAGAAACAGTTCGAGACGAGACAATTTGGGTAATGGTTAGGGTTTAACGACGAAGAAAGAAAGTTGTGACGTTATGATTTTTTTTTTCTACTCACCAGAAATATGGGAACGGTTGATTTTTCTGCGTCACAAAAGTTAGTGATGTGGATTGCCTAATTAGTGATGTGGAATTGATAATT